AAAGTATCCTCATCCCTGCAGTATTTGTCCTTGGTTGTCATTTCTTCTGAAGAGAGTATAGAGGAAGAAGAAAACGTGTGTTTTACTATGCATTTACTATGCATCAATACCAACTTTTAGCACTCTTTATTTAGTAATTAATACCAGCTGCAGCATTAGAAGACAAAAAGCTCTTTTGTGTCATTGGCATGAACTGGTATGACTCACTGAGATCAAAGCTGGAGGATGCTGAGTAAGAAGGGTTTATATACTTTGAGATTTTGATATTTGGGGTTAATCTATGACCCTGATCTGAATTGGGGATGTAAATCTAGACTATGGCTGAGGTTTGAATCTAGCTGGCTCTTTTTTTTTTTTTCTTCACTTCTTTTATTCTGACCTAAGCAAAGGGCTCTTCGTTTCCACATACGTGCCTGGTGCCCAGCAGAGTAAGGTAGTTGCACTCGGTGCCACAGCAAATAGAGGCCATGCAACGTGTGTCTTCACAGCTATGTGAATCTCCAGAGCTCTTTGCAAGTGAAGTTTGAGAGCTGGGCTTAGCAGCTGAGGCAGCACAGCACGCTAACCACAGCCACCCAGTTTTGGGATTACAGCTGGTTGTCATCCAGCCAGATCAGCGTGGGGAAGAGCAAGCTGATACCTGCTTGCAGAAGGCTGTGCAGAGGTGTCGTAACCACCCTATGTCTCAAGAGGGTGAAACAACCAACGACCATCTGAGGAACCAACGACCTTCTGAGGAGCTATAAGTCTAAGTGCACTTCCATACTCTGCATTTGCTCCGTTTTTGCTCTCTTTTTTTTCTTTTTCCTTTCTGTTTTACAAGAAGGCATCTATAAACTGACAGAATGGTAGCACTTCAGTCATGCAGTCCTACGTGTCTTTGCAGTTCAGGCTTGCATGATTCATCCATAGAAACATCACCCCTGACCTGGACAGGGTTACATGAAAGCCATAGGTGTGTTAAAGCCTGATTTTGAACAGGTAGATTAGATCTGAAAAGAAATGGCAGCTCATGTTGCTGTTGGGCAAACCGATACAGACGAGGTCATGCAGTGTGACACAACTGGGCAGGGACAACAGCTCTGCCTCTAGCAAGGCCACAGGCAAATCACGCTCATTCTTGATGCCACAGTATCCTCTGTAAAATGGAGGCAAATAATGTGTCCGCAGTGAAATCCTCTGAGAGCAGGTGAGATGTGCCAAGGAGGAGCAAAATCTCCTTATCTTCCTTTACGTGAAACCAGAATTATGCTTTTGAAAGGTCTTGAATTTTGAAGAGGATAGATTTGGTGCTTAAAGTTATCACCTGAACAGCTTTGGTCCTGCTGAGGTTTGCAGTCTTCTCGAGTTTAACTGTAGATCTAAGCCTTCATGCTATATATTGAAGAAGGTTTTGCATAATTTTGAATGTTGCCTGCATGCTGCACTGCTGTAAAATCAGGTGTCCATTACTGCAGTTGTGTCCAGCTTTTTACACAGAAAATATACCAGGATTCAGAGTATGAAAATAATTGTGCCTCTAATCTCTATCTATAGGGACTGCAAAGTGTACTGGAGAGCACATGGCTTGCTGGTGGCTCTGGTGTGTAGGAGGTTATAGGTGTCAGCAGAGGGCTCACAGCTCCCTGCCCGGCTCCATATGGGAACATTCAACCCTACCTTTGTCCAGCACCCTGACCCGCCCCCCAGCCCTGTGCGCTGTGTGTGGACCTCCACTATTGCAAGCTTGATTAAAATAATAATAACAAACAAACAAACAAACAAATAAATAAATAAATAAATAAATAAATATCGTGAGAGAGGGACATCCTCTGAGAGGGGGATCCTCTCCCTGTACCCTGAGTCCTGGTTGGCCTGCTGCAACAAAATGATTCCCAGTACTTGCCTCTCTGTGTAAAGGGACTAAGACTGGGGCTAAATTGTCATCTGTGCCCTCGCCCAGTGCCAATCTTTATCAGCCTAATCTGACTGGCAGCTTCCCCCCCGCTCTTTTTCTTTTCATTCTGAAGATGTAATGTCTACTTTACCCTTAACAGCCTCCACTGACAGATCTTGTAGACTTCCCTGCAATGTTTGTTATGAAAGGTTTTCCAGACCTCTTCCAGCCCGCAGTCTGACCAGTCAGCATGTGACAGAGCGACCCATGAGCTTCTCGGGCGAGATCTTCCGAGTGCTGTGCTGAGATCTGGAGGCACAGGTTGCTGTGCTGTGAGCCCATGATCCTGCAGGCTTGGATCCTTTCCACTTAAAAGGACCCTAGCTTCTCCCGAACACTCTCTGTAGGAACTGTATGCTTGGAGTAATCTGAGTTTTAATCCTCTTAAGCCCAGTAAGTCCTCAGATAGCTGTTTTCCCCTATCAACCTTCCCCTTTTGGCTACTACTCCTTACAACTCTGATCTGGTGTGCAAGCGAAAAGGGACCCAGGGATTCTTCTTCTCAGGATAATTTTCTGCTGTGCCTTCTTCACGCTTTCAAGACTGATTTCCTCTACCCTTTCATTACTGCCGTTGCTTGCCATTGAGGCCTGTTGTCACCTGCTAGAAATCAGAAAGCTGGGCTATCATTTCCAGCAGCATCACTAAAGATTGTATTTATCGGGCAGGCTTTGAGAAGACAGATTGCGTAGCGAGGCATATTTGTCAGTCTTTACATGAGACAAAAAAATTGCATGTAGGTCATAAGAATAGAACATATTCCAAGAGGGTCAAAAGCTGCCTTAAGACTGGTGGGGCAGGCTGAGGAGCTGCTAGGCTCTATCCGTTGGCCTGAACTGTTAAATTTAATCTGGGACCTAGCTGTGCCTCTGATCTAGTACCATTTGCAGATACCTTGGCTACAGAATTCAGTAACCTTTTTAGTACTTGTGACAATCTCCATGTAAAGATTTCCTTGTTTTAAATCCCACTCCACGGGGTTGTTCTGAGATAAAAATAACTCTCTGTAGCTGAGGATTCTTACATAAAGACGTTGTGATAGGGGAAATCCAAAGGCAGCTGCTGTGTTGCTTGAGGAAGGGGGAGGAGAGGTTTGACTGAGAAGAAATCAATGCAATAATGGAGATAAGAAATGTGAAGGGAGGTTTATGTTTGTCCAGAAATTGGTGACTGATATGGAAGGATGATTAAAAGTTCATAGTCAGAAACAAATCCTGAAATCAGAGGAGCAGAGTTCTGGGGAAAATGAGAACCTGCACATATGAAAAATCCCTGGCTAATTGAATTTGTCATTGGGTAATGCTTGCAGATTCGAGGTTGCTTCTTTGTCCAACATTCACTTGGCAGACTTGTCACCAGAGTCTGAGTGCTACTGTCATTCCTCTGCTTTTAGTGGGGTCTCTGTTTTAGTCATTCTTGGTTTACTGATTGACTTCTGTGATTGCACTGAGACATCATCTGTGTGAAGAAAAGGCTCCCTGCTTGATGGTGCTCTGGTTTGCTATGGACGTTTTGTCCTCAAACCACTTTTCTGGCCCTTGCTTCTATATTTTTCTATCCCGATTGTTATTTATGTGAACTATGCTATCATTATCCTCTAGCATCATAACGAGTTCCATGGGTGATGTCTGATATTCAAATACAGTACTGGGAAGGGTGCACTGGTTTTGCTTTTTTCCGGCTGTGCCACTTGGCTACTGCACTAGGAGAACTGCACAGCTCGGAAGAAGGAGACAAATAATTCAAGTGGAAAACAAAACAAAGAAAAATCCACAAACAAACACCAACAGGTAACAAGAACTGAGTTCTATGAGGATATCCAGCCAGAACCACTTGAAGTGACATTTGCTCTCCCTGGAATATTTTGTCCTACGCTTTTTTGCTTGCATGAGATATGAGGATGTAGTGGCACCAAAGCTGTGCCTCTGATTCTCGACCTGGCAATAGTCAAGTGGGTAACTTGCAGGCTGGTGTTTATAACTTTTGATAAAAGGTTTTTTTTTTTTTTTTTTTTTTTTTTTTTTTTTTTTTTTTTTTTTTCCTCCACAAAGGAGATCTAGGCCAAAGAGAAGTCACTTTTTGGTTCTGTGCCAAAAAAAGTCTTGTTTCAGGAACACGATAGGTCCTCAAGACGGGTCATCACACCTACTTTTTCAGTGAACTTTGAGCAGGTTGGTAAGAGCTGCAAGCGAGCTGAATGACAGCACGCATCCAAGTCCAGGTTTCAACGCATGGGGCAAGGAATGTGTCTACAGCTCAGATAACACACTATCAATTAAATGAACTACGGATCCTTAGTGTAATGATTACTGGAATGTAATCTCTCACAGTGACAGGCTGCTACAGTAATCGGAAAAGATGAGCTGATTCATTAGCTGCAAGGTCCCTATGAGGACAAAAACATGTATCACTCAGGGCTGCTTTGCTTCCATCACTGAAATGCTTTTTCTCTTCACTGGATGTTTTTGCTTTGCGGATGGGGAATGGAGAAATGCTGAAAGCTGAAATGGTGAATAAAAACGCAGTATCCTCTGCCCATCACCTCATGTCACCCATCCACTCCCTCAGGTGGGACACCCGCCACCCTCCCCGGGCTCGGGAATAACGGAGAGGGGCAGTCCCCAAGGCCGGGCTCGGGCGGCGCTGCCCTCGGGCCCGCGGCTCGGGATTGTCGCCCGGGGCTCCCCTCAGGGCGCCGCGGCCGTTGGCGCCGCGGCCGTTGGCGCCGCGGCCGTTGGCGCCGCGGCCGTTGGCGCCGCGGCCGTTGGCGCCGCGGCCGTTGGCGCCGCGGCCGTTGGCGCCGCGGCCGTTGGCGCCGCGGCCGTTGGCGCCGCGGCCGTTGGCGCCGCGGCCGTTGGCGCCGCGGCCGTTGGCGCCGCCCCTCGGCGGCTCCTCGGGGCGCCCCGCGGCTCTCCCGCCTCCTCAGCGGGCGGCGCGGGGCTCCCGGCCAGGTGCTCGAGCGAGGCGGGCGGCCATGGGGCAGCGGGAGGGCTCTTCGGAGCGGGCGGCGGGCGCCGAGGTGCGTCTGTCGCGGCGGCGCTGGGCCGTGGTGCTGCTCTTCAGCAGCTACTCGCTGTGCAACGCCTTCCAGTGGATCGAGTACGGCAGCGTGAGCAACGTCTTCGTGCGCTTCTATGGCGTGAGCGCCTTCGCCATCGACTGGCTCTCCATGTGCTACATGCTCGCCTACATCCCGCTGCTCTTCCCCGTCGCCTGGCTGCTGGACAAGCGCGGCTTGCGGCCCATCGCCCTGGCCGGCTCGGCCCTCAACGGGCTGGGCGCCTGGGTGAAGCTGGGCAGCTTGAGGCCGCAGCTCTTCGGTGTCACCGTGGCGGGGCAGGTGGTGTGCGCCGTGGCGCAGGTCTTCATCCTGGGCATGCCCTCGCGCATCGCCTCCGTGTGGTTCGGGCCACGCGAGGTCTCCACCGCCTGCTCGCTCGCTGTCTTTGGGAACCAGGTGAGCGGGGTGCTGCGGGGTGAGAGGTGCCTGCTCCGCTCCGGGAACTGGAGAGACGGGATAGGGAACGGCCGTGCGGAGCGGGACATCCAGCTGGGAGCTGCAGGAGAAGGGATGCGTCTGGGCTCAGCTGTGGGGTGACTGGGTAGGCGAGGGAGCAGGACCTAAGTCTGCAAACTGGGAAGCAGGGTGGGCTCAGGAATGGACCTGGCTTCGGGCAGGCTTTGGATGTGGTGTCTCCTCCGGCACCCTCCCAGTCGCGCCTCTGTGAGTTGGTGGCCCAAGGATTTGACTTGGGAACTAGTGGATGGAGTAGAGGGGGACGAGGGCAAGGTGCAGAGGAGTGTGTGGGAGCCCCTCAGCCCCACAGCGGCAGCTGCATCTGGCTTTCACAGCGGGATCCTCCCAAAGAGCAAAGCATGTCTACTGAAAGGGATACGTGTCACCCAGCCCTGTGGATAAAGAGCTTTAACACCTTTATACCTCTTACAAATAAGATATTACTTATTTTCCACAATTCGAAATTTTTGCTTTGAGCAGAAGCAGACCCTGCGTGAAGCAGGACAAGGTAAGGTCCCTGGACACTCTGGGGTCAGGGCGGGCAGGGAGGCCAGCGACCCATGTCTGTGGGAGCTGTAGTGGGTGCACGGTGGCAGAAAGCAGATGGACTAAGAGTGGGCAGTGTGGAGAAGGGAGGCAAGAACAAGGGTGATGGATACTCTGTGATGGTGACACTATGGGCGGAGGGAAGGACATCTTGGCGCTGGCTGCGGGCCGGACCTGCGCCCCTTACTGCTTGCAGGACCCCATGTTCTCGGCTAAAGAAACCTCTGCCGCCGGGACGGTGGGTGCCGCTCAGGTAGGAACAGCTTCCCTTTGGGGCAGTTCCCCGAGAACCGTTATTCTTTGGAGGTGACTTTGTGTGCAGGTGGCTTTGGGTGCTCTTCCCTGTGCTCCAGGCTCATGTACTCACTTAGGTACCGCTGCAGTGAGAAGTGAGTGCTCAGAGGTTGTATTGGAGGACCTGAAGCTTGCAGATCAGTGATAGGGAGCAAGGCAGGCTCCCAATGTTAATCTTTTTAAAGAGAAAACACATTTAACTTTCTCTGAGTGAATCATTTTTTTTTTGTCCTCATTCTTATCACCCAAGCTAGTGAGCTGTGTGTGTGTTTTTAATGTATTTTAAATAAATCTTTAAATCAGGAGGCATTTAACTTGGCATGAACACTCTGCTGATTTAGAGTAAATAAGTAACTGAGCGTTTTGCTTTCTGTTTTAAAAATTTATCCAGGTTACTCAACAGCGTGTACAAGAAATCCAAACAATGGGGCTTTAGCCCGTGCTGCGTGTGTCTGTGCCATCCTCATTGTCCTGAAAGCAGTGCTTTAGGCCAGCAGTTGGGAAAGGCAAACTTTGGCTAAGCATTTTGTTCACCAAATGTCAACTGTGACTGCCCTGGCGGTTGAAGTGACATGGCAATAGGAGCTCAGGTCAGTGTACAGCCCTTGTATTTTATGTCCAGACTTTTTTTCTGGAGGATCCAAGAAGTCCGAACTGACAGAGACTGAAGGCAGGACATACTGCATAGCAAAGGACCTATTCATTTCTCTCCCATAATTGATAGTGTTGAGGTGTACAATTGAGGTTTATTATATGTGTGAAAAAGAGCTACTTTGTTTAGCTGTCATGTTGTGTAGGGGGAAGAAACAGAGGCTCTCTTTTTTTCGTGACTATATTTAGAAGACTGTACTTTAGGGAGTGATGGAAAAGCAAAATATAGTGGTTTAGTAATTACAGTATGCCATTTTGGCAAATGATTCCCTACACTCATCCCTCTACAACAGTCCGAATTCTCCTTTCCTGGCCTTCTCGCTTCCCTTCAGCCTGACTTACAGCCCCACCAGGTGGAAAATTCCATCATAGACACTACAGTGGCCACGTGCTGATGTCCTTATCTATTAGGAAATACAAGCTGTTACGCGGAAGAGCAGCGCGGGGTCACCGCTTGTCTGCTCGGCCTCTCTGCCGCTTTTATGTCCCCGTGCTCCTCACTGTGCCGTAAGCAGTGCTGAGCTGGGGAGCCCTGCCTGCCTGGCTGGGTGCTCCTGATGCAGGGAGGACTGCTCCGGGTGCCCCCGTGTGCTCTCGGTGCCACCGTCGCTGCTGCTCGCTCCCCTTCCAAGTTAGCCCCCCTAGAGTAAATCTGTGAATCAGCTGGACTGGGTGAGGTGTTAAATATCAAGATAATCCCCATAGAGGGTATCAGACCTTCCTCACTTTATTCTGATCATGTTGTGTTTGCTGTGGTGTGTGAAGCAGCAGGAGAGGTTGGACTCACAGCTCTCGAATAGATGCTGAGGAATTTCTAGAAGGGAAGAGCTTGGGCACCCGCTCAGGAGGCTGTCACATTCCCTTGCTTATTCACTTTTGATTTCATTTTACATTTCCTTGTTTTAATAGCAAAATGCATAGATTATTCCATTCCTTTTCTGTGTCCCTGTAAGTGCAAGTATAGGTAGGGTATATATTGGAGTTTACTTGCAAGCAGATATTTTAGCTTTAAAATTTTAATGTTATTAAAATATTACCAGTACTTCTTTGTTTTGAAATGTCAAGAATAACCTATTCAGGTTATAACCTTTACCTACTTACAGAGGCTGAAGTTTCAGGGTTAGGAAATGGAAGAGTATTCTGAGTAATTGGCTAATGACCATCAGATGTGTTTGAATTTCTGGGGAATATGGCTGATGGCCTTCAGAAATGTTGCTCTTGGTGGTAGCCCATCTGTTTGGATATCAGCAGTGCTGGAGGAATTTGGTGCTGGGGATGTTAAATCCTGGGTCCAAGATACGTTGTAGAGGTGGATTGTGCTACTTCTGTTTCATTGTGGTGGTTTATCAGTAGGTGAAATGCTTGGAGTGGTGGCTCTAACCTAGCAGGTTGCAGCAAATGGGCTTTTAATATTGCTTATATCAAAAGGGAAGACAGTCCATTCATTTTTTTCCTCATAACATGTAGCAACAAAGGCCGGCAGTGGAATGAAATATTGCCCTGAAGCCTGAATGTTGTCCATATTGGGAGCTGCCAGGGCACCAGGCTTTGCCCCTTTCTTTAAAATGAGCTTTTCTGTCCTTGAGGGTGAACAGTGATCGTGCTGTAATATGATGGAGCTAATACTTTGGTGGGAATGTTTAGTTAATCGAGGTTCTTTGGCTGTGGGTTTGAGCTCCTGTGGCGCATACTGGCGCACTGCGCTGGAGCCAGGCCTGCTCCTGCCTCAGTGCTGCACCTCCCTGTTGTCACCTGAGGAGCAAATGGCATCAGCAGCACCCGCAGAGGTGGGTGAGTGTTGGGCAATGGAAGAGCATTTGTGTTTCTGTGGCTTTGTCTTGCTTTGCCACCTGCATGGTGCTGACTTGATTGAAATAGACTTTCTGGCTCTTGCCATTCTAACAAAAGGGAAAGAAGCGGCTGATGCTCTTGGAGTAAAGATGCAGCAGCAGGAGTGCAAGAATGTCTTTCTTCTGTGATTTTTTCGGCTCTTGTTTTTTAGCAGTTGGAGGTGTTAATAGGGACTGGCAGGCAAGAATACTTCAGCTTTGTGTTCATCTCTGTGGGGAAGGTGCTGGCACAGCTTGCTGACCTTCAGGTGAGCCTCATTCCGACACAGCCAGGATGTGCCTTGCTGCCTTGCTCAGAGGTAATTTGGGACTTGCACAGCAGCAGCAGCCTGAGGCAGAACTTGCAGGTGCTCCCTGGAGACCGCTCAGAGAACTGGTGTAGCAGTGGTGATGCCTGGAATAGAGAATCAGGGTGACAGGCTGTGGCTGAGATTGAGGGAAGTGCTCTCTCCTGGCAGATCCCTTTCTGTTGTTCTCAGTTGGCAGAAGGAACATGCAGGGATCATCTGTGAGAAGTCAGGTCTGCGACACGTGCGTGTGTGCAGTGGCTTCCGTGCTGCTGAGTCTGCGGGGTGAGTTGTGTTCTGCGCGGGCGGCTGCTTCATGCCTGGTTCACTCCTGGTTCTGTTCTGTAGCTTTTGCCCTTCGGAAAAGCGACCATCTGAAAGTCCAAGTGTTGTGGAAATGGAACAGGTCCTGGGGAAATCCTGTTTCCAAGCAGAGCACTAGATCTCTCTGGTGGTGGTGGTTGTGCTGGCGGTGGTGGTTGTGCTGGCGGCAGCTGTTGTTGTGTTTGTTTTTTTGTCCCTTTTCCCCAGATGAGATGAATCCCTGCACAATAAGGACAGGGGATGACCTGCCTTGCTTCCTGTACGTGAGCTGGGCTTCCTGGGGCTTTAGCTGTTAGAGCAGAGAAGGTTTTACCAAGGGCCTGAGAAGAGTGAGTAGTGGCACTGATTCCACATGGCGTCCTTCAGGCCTAGCCCCCTGTCCCTGCCTGCCTGTGACGAGGGCTGGGCCGATCACTCGGATCCCAGGGAGCACTCTGTGGTTGGGCTGGGTGGATCACTCGGATCAGAGGGAAGGCTCTGTGTCCGGCTCGCCAGGAGCTTGGGTGCTGGGCAAGGCACGGGGACGTGCTGACCAAACAGCGACGTGGCTTTCCCAGGAATGCTGAGGTTTCTATAAATGGGAACCTGAAATGAGCTATTTTACCCACTTCATTTGATGCTCCCTTTCCAGCCACATGCGAGAGGCAGCTGCCCGTCTCCCTCGCGGAGGCGCCTGCCTTGCAGGGTATGTGCTGAGGAAGTTGCATGGGAGTTAAATGCATGACTGCAATGCTTTGGCTGGGAGCGGCTGCCCTATGGCACCCTCAGCTCCTGCCCTCTGGGATCCTCAGTTACTGGCAGTGTTTTGTTACTGTATTAGGACCTTGGCCAAAGTGTTATTTCCCCACTGAGGACTCCAGCGGCTGCTGAGGTAGCTGTTGGGACTGAAGCCCTTTTTCTGCATTACTGTCTTTATCAATTTGCCACCTTGCATTTCTCTCTCAGAAATCTGGGGGAAGGTGCAGTCGGGGCTGAGAGACTTGGATGA